TATTAAGGAGAAAGGGGGAAGGTATGTAGAGAGATAGGGAAATAATGATCAAGGAGTAAAGGGGGCTGGTTGGGAGAGAAAGGAGGGAAATTATGAGAAAGGATGTAAGAAAATGAAGAGGGGTTTGAAGATGAATATGTAAGGGAAGATCGGGAGACGTGAGGAGTGCAAAGCACTTGGAAGAGGGGAAAATATGGAGGAATACGGGGAAACGGGGGAGAGACAAAGGCGAGGAACCTGAAGATGCCGATTTTTGAAGGGGAGAAACTGACAGCAACAGGCCTATGTTTGGAAGGGAAAGCATTGTCATGGTTCCAATGGAGGGAGGGACCTAAGGAGATCTTTACGAAGCTAGAGAGCATTCAAAGACTGTTTATTAGAACGTTTCCAAACCGATGAGGATGAGACTTTTATGAGCAATTTTTGCACTGGTGCAGGACGGATCAATGGCAGACTATTGAGAACGGTTCGAGCACCTAGCCAGTTGGGTGGAGCGATTATCAAAGATCGCATTTGAGGAAAACTTCATGAAAGGGCTTAAGGCATAGATCAGGGTGACGGTGAATGTCATGATGCCTCGTGACTTGGGAGAGGCCATGAAGTTAGCACAACTGATAGAAAATTAGAAGAACCTAGAGAAAGGAGCCAGGAGCAGCAGCTCAGGAGGCACATACAGGATGACGACCACCCACTTAGCACCCAAGGGTCCTATAACAGGAGGAGTTTGTGAGGCCACCAGGGAGAAGACTAGAGGAGGTAGTGGGGGAAATTTCAAATGGTTGACGGAGAAGTAGATGCATGAGAAGAGGGCTAAGGGGTTGTGTTTCAGGTGTGATGAGAAGTACACTCCAGGACATAGGTGTAGGGACCAAACTCTTTAGGTTTTCACTGTCTGTGATGATGAGGGAACTGAGGAAGGAGGCGAAGGGGATTTAGTGGAGGAAGAGGAGGAAAAGCTGCATCTAGATCTGCCAGAGATTTCCCTGAACTCGGTGGTATGATTCATTACTAATCATACCATGAAGGTGAAGGGGGATATAGAGGGCAAGGAGGTAGTGGTTTTGATTGATAGTGGGGCTACCCACAATTTCCTTCCACTTAGGTTATCGATCAATTGAGAGTGAAATTGGTGGACACCAGTTGTTATGGGGTGATGATGGATACTGGGAAGGTGGAGAAAGGCCAGGGGATTTGTAGAGGAGTGGTGTTAACCATCCATGGCATTCAGGTGAGGGAGGGCTTTCTCCCATTGGACTTAGGGAGTATAGATGTCATCCTGGGGATGAAGTGACTGCAAACCTTGGGGGATATCAAGGTCAATTGGGGAGCCCTCACGATGGAGTTAATGGTGGATGGAAGGAAGGTGATGATCAGGGGAGATGCAAGGTTATCCATATCCTTGGTGCCTATCAAAACCATGGTAAGGAATATCAAAGAGGTGGGGGAAGGCTATTTGGTGGAGCTGCACAGGTTGGAGGGAGTTAGATTGGAGGAGGGAGGGGAGATCCCCTTCTCCATACAACCATTGATACAATAATTCCAGGAGGTGTTTCAACTGCTTTAGGGATTGCCACCACCGAGGGAGCAAGTGCATGCTATCACTCTGAGGGATGGTGTGCCACCCATCAGCGTTAGGTCCTACCAATATCATCAATTTCAAAAGGATGAGATTGAGAAGCTGATCAGAGAAATATTGGAGGCAGGTATTATCTGACCTAGTATTAGCCCTTTTTTAAGTTGCGTTACTAGTGAAGAAAAAAGATGGCACCTGAAGGTTTTGTGTGGACTATAGGGTGATCAACAAGGAAATTGTTCCAGATAAGTTTCCTATACCAGTGATTGATGAACTGCTGGATGAATTGAGTGCGGCGGTGATGTTTACCAAGATAGATCTGAAATCAGGATATCATCATATCAGAATGAAGAAGGAAGATGTGCCAAAAATTGCTTTTAGGACTCACGAGAGGCATTATGAGTTCCTAGTGATACCTTTTGGCCTCATTAAAGCCCCAGCTACATTCCAGTCACTTATGAATAAGGTCTTCAAACCTTATCTTCGGCGATTTGTCTTGGTGTTTTTTAACGATATCCTAGTTTACAGCAGGACAGAGAATGAGCACTAGTAGTATTTGAGGAGGGTGTTAGAGTTGTTACAGGAGCATCAATTGATCCCAGACGAGTGTGGAGTATTTGGGCCATATTGTGTCCAAGGAGGGGGTGGCATCCGATCAGTCAAGGATTGAGGCTATGTTGAGATGGCCATTACCAAAGAACCTGAAAGAGCTGAGAGAGTTCTTTAGACTTATGTGGTACTATAGGAGATTCGTAAAAGGGTACAACACTATAGCATGGCCACTAACAGAACAGCTGAAGAATGATGGCTTACTATGGGGAGAGGAACCCCCAACAGCCTTTGAGAGGCTGAAGAAAGCTATGACTACGGTGCCAGTCTTAGCCTTACCAGTCTTCACTCAGGTCTTCGTAGTGAAAGCAGATGTTTTAGGGTATGGACTGGGAGCAGTACTCATGCAGAGTCTCCTACTGATTGCTTTTTTCAGCCAGGTGTTGATAACTAGAGCCAGGCTGAAATCAGTATATGAGCGAAAATTGATGGCCATCGTCTTGGCCATCCAGAAGTGGCGACCGTACCTGCGAAGAAGACACTTCATTATCAGGACAGACCAGCAGAGCTTGAAATACTTATTGGAGCAGCGGATGGTGATAGAGGAACATCAAAGGTGGCTGTCCAAATTATTGGGGTATGATTTTGAAATCCAATACAGGTCAGGAGTGGAGAACAAAGCAGCAGATGCCTTGTCTAGGTGCATGGGAGAGCTGCAGGTGATGGAGTATTGATTCCATTGATGTTAGATTGGGAGGCCATCAAGGATGAGGAGTTGGGGAAGATTATGGCCGATTTACTGAGGGAAGGGAGTAGCCATTCGAGGTATTCATTGGAGAGCGAACGACTACTGTATCAAGGGAGGTTTGTGTACCCCAAACCTTAGTCCACATTCCATCCTTACTCCAAGAGTTCCATGGGAGCATTGTGTGTGTGTGTGGGGGGGGGGTCATTCAGGAGTGCAAAAGACATACAGAAGGCTAGCCTCAAAGCTGTACTGGAACACAATTCATAAAGATGTGGAGCAGATGGTGGCCAAATGTGAAATCTGCGAGAGAAACAAGTATTTGGCTATGTCACCAGGAGGACTACTACAACAGTTAACTTTACCAAGGCAGGTATGGGAAGAGGTATTCATTGACTTCATAGATGGGCTAGCCTGTCAGAAGTAGTCATAATGATTCTTGTGGTAGTGGACAGATTGAGCAAGTATGCTCATTTCATTCCTTTATGACATCCATATACCGCAGTGATAGTAGCATCAGGTTTCATCAAAGAGGTTGTCAGATTGCATGGGTTACTAGAGGCAATAGTATCAGATAGAGATAAGGTGTTCCTCAGTTATTTATGGAAAGAGTTGTTCAGATTACAGGGGAAAATTCTGAAAAAGAGCACTGCCTACCACCCACAGACGGATGGCCAAATAGAAGTGGTCAATAAAAGCTTGGAGACCTACCTCTGATGTTTTGTGTCGGAGATGCCCAAGTTATGGGCCAAGCGGTTATTATGGACGGAGTATTGGTACTACACCTCCTACCATTTCGGCTTCGTAAATGCACCCTTCAAGGTGTTGTATGGAAGGGACCCACCTCACTTAGTGCACTTCAGACAGAGCAGCACTCCAGTTTCATAAGTAGAGAAGTACTTAGAGGAGAGGGACAAAGTTTTAGGAAGAATTAAAAAGACATCTGTTGAGAACCCAGCAAATCATGAAGAAATAAGCTGACATGCATAAAAGGAACATCCAGTTTGAGGTAGGAAAAAGGGTGTTTTTGAAGCTCAAACCGTATAGGCAAAAATGAGTCACCAATAAGAGGAATGAGAAGCTTGCCCCAAGATACTTTGGGTCTTATGAGGTTTTGGAGAAGATTGGAGTAGTTGAGTATTGACTGAAACTACCACCAACGGTGACTATATACCCTGTTTTTCATGTATCCCAGTTAAGAAGGTCAAGTGGAGATATACAACTAGCTCGGAGTTACCAGTGACACTCACGGAGGACTTAGATGTGATTTTGGAACCCTTAGAGCTGATGGGGGTTCGCCAGAGGGAAGATGGAGCTAAAGAAGTGCAAATCAAGTGGAAAGGCCTTTCGGACTACGATGCCACGTGGGAATCTTATGAGAGGATGAAACATTAGTTTCCCAGTTTTCACCTTGAGGACAAGGTGGTTCTTTGGGAATGAGGTATTATTACGGTTCTTCTTGAACTGACCAGACCGACCCAACATGGGTTGGTTTAGGTTTATAGGAGGCGGGCTAAGCTGCCTCCTTAGAAGACTGCCCAAGCGTGTTGGCCCCCTATGGCAGAAAATAGAGAGAGGGAAGGGGGCGCTAATGCATAGGGAAACCATTTTGAATTTGGTTTATTTTAGGAATTTATTTGCTTTTATTAGGAAGATATGTATTAAAAGAGGATGAGAAGTTAGGGTTAAGCCATGCATGATTATTGTTTTCTCTTGGAGTTCTTTATGGCTTTGGACTCTAGATTCATCGTCTAGAGATTGGGAGAGAACGATCCTCCTCTCAAATTGAGGATCAATTGTATCTTTGCTTGTTCTTGCTTGTGGTTTGATTTCTATAATACAATCTACTATCTTTGGATTGTTTTCATTGGAGATCTTGAAGTTTTCTCGTTGTTTTCAACAATTATTGTTAGGTTTGCATGTGAACTCAAGTATTCCCCATTAAGGTTACTTGTGAACTCAAGTATTTCCTATCATGGAGCCAATCTATGACATTCATGCTGTCTCTATCAATATGCATGCCATTTGCCTCAAACATATATATATAAACATATATATATATATATGGTTCAATGAATTATTGGAGGAGACACGAGCAGCCTCAGGCTTAACTTATGTGCTGTCCCTGCAAAGTTGTTTACTTGCAGCAAGAAGGAGATCTCCATTGTTGTTCCTTATAACAGTCACATGACCGGCATTCTGAGAGAAGAGGAGAGTGCCTTCGATGTTGATTTTGAGCCATCTAGGAGGGGGAGGGCACAAATGCAGGGAGAATGCAATGGCTGGCATTGGTTGGTGGCCCATTGCTCCGTTGACAACCCATTCTTCAAGTTGGTTATGAAATCACAGTAGTATGAATGAACATCAAGTTATTTGTATTCTTTTCGTTGATAATACATAATATTATTAGTTTGATTTAGGTTTTATGATACACAATGATATGCTTAAACTGGTGCTACTTCGTGGTGGATTCTTGCTTAGTGATTCCGAGTTCATGATATAGGTACTAAGTAAACAAACAACGCTGTATGTATTCTTTTTGACATGATCTATTATTTTCGAACGATCATGTTCAGAAATAGCTCTACTAATACTTATTTTGCTGAAATAAAACAACATTTATGTTCTTCTAGGATGAGTACGGATTTTATCGCTTGTCGTGTCAATGGTATGCTTTGTCATTTAGATATCAATATTAGCCTTTATTTTCCTAAAGTTTTATCTTGTAGCACTGCGTGTAATGATATTCTGCATGTGTTAATTCTTGGCGGTGGTACCATGAATGTGGATATGAGCTGTCAATTTTAAGACTTTATATAGATGCTATGCTAAGACTGAAAGCTACGGCAATGGCTTGGTATGCTCTATCCACTAAACAGATTCTTCCAGCGTAATTTGCCTTTTGGTTGCTTTGTGATTGAAACATATCCAAAGGCTTTTTATCATTATTTGATTGCATATCCACTATTGAAAAGATCTTTAACTTTTATGTCAAATCAATTGGAATTTTCTAACTTTGGTTAGGTTTCTTTCACCTTACCTGGAATGATTCTGAATTAGACTCCTGCAATTAATCCCAGGAAGGGTGTTGTAATTTTCCTCTAATTTTTTGGTCATTTATACTAATCAAAGTCTGTTCTTTCATTAGCTTCTATAACTAAAATTTAACATGGCAGTCTGGGGTAACAACATTAACACAACTACACAAGAAACATAGAATGATAGGAAGGTCAAATTACAAGGGCTCAATCCATAAAATTTGTAGTTGAGTATGGTGGATCCATCATGAAGAGCAAAATAAAGACCTTTACTAGAAATTACTTATTTAGTTTTCTTATTTAAATATTATGTTGTGAACATTATTCATTTGCTAAATATTATGTTACGCATGTGGCTTATTGTGTGCATGCATAAAATTTAGGTTTCAAATTAAATTTTCAAAACTTAAATTATAATAGAGATGGAGAATTATCCTAAACAAATATCTTATAACTAATTAAGCAATTAATTAAAATATTTAATAAAGGAGGGGCTGGCCTTGGTAGTTAGCACAAGGTGGTTATATGTAATTATATGGAGGGCCGACCACTATGTCTCTTTCCTTTTTTTTTCATTTGAATTATGTGCTTTGTAAACACTAATAAAATGTGTTGTTCTTTGAAATGTAGAAGATAGGGTATTTGAAATTTGATTTGGAGTGAATTCCAACAAGCTTAGGCTAATTAGTGGTCAGCCAAAAAGGGACGGTTTGATAATCTTCCCTATCCATTCACTTTGGTGAGTGAATGATTCTTTTATCTTATGTATTTTTTTAATTCTCTGTTGTGAGTGTGTCCCTTGATGTATTTCTTGCATTATAATTTCAAATCTCATAATTTTCCCCAGAATTCCCATAGTTTATCCTATCTAGAGTGGTTGGCCAAGCATAGACTAAAACTAGACAAAGTCTAGTTACGGTGGCTATATGGTGGCCATAAACCATACAAAAAAATTTAAAAACTTCAGACTTGTTTTTAACTCATCCTCCTTCCTCCTACAAGTGTTTTAACTAAAGTTCCCTTGCGACATGTTGTGTTTCTAAAGCATAAATCCTAACCCTGAAAAATTAACGAGACAAAAACAACAACAATAACAACAAGTCTTTATCCCACTACGTGGGGCCAGCTACATGAATCATTTTTCTCCATTGTGTTATATTAAGAGTCAAATTTTCATTTAAATCAAATAAAAAATGTTATTTCTAATATTTTCTAACTAATTCTTTTTATGTCTATCTCTATCTTTCTTAACTTGATCACCCAAAGTCACGGTCCCCCCACCAGTTCTATTACTCCTAAAATTACATTTCATATATTCAATTTTAGATCTACTTTACACTCTAGAGTTGACCTCCATAGTTTAAGTTTATCTTCAACTCCCTCTCTTTAGTCTTATCGACAAGAAGAATATCATCAACAAAAATCATACACCATGGTACATCCTCTTGCAAATGTATTGTAGAAACATCCATGACTAAAGCCAAAAGATATGAGCTTAAAGCTGATCCTTGATGTAATCCAACTGAAATAGGAAAATACTTGGTCAAACTATCTTGTGTTTGAACATAAGCAATAGCTCTTGCATACATATCCTTAATTACTTGAATATAAATATTATTATTCCCTTTCTTTTCTAGAGCTATCCAGAGTACTTATTTTAAAACTCTATCATATGCTTTTTCTAAATCAATAAATATCATATATAGATCCTCCTTATTATCTCTATACTTCTCCATCAAAACTCTCAATAAATGTATAACTTTCATAGTAGACCTACACGATATGAATTCAAATTGATTTTGAGAAACATTAGTATCACATCGTAACCTATGCTCAATAACTCTCTCCTATAGTTTTAATGTATGACATGTTAACTTAATTCCTCCATAATTCATGCACTCTTGTGCATCACCTTTATTTTTAAAAATAAGAATCAATACACTCTTTCTCCACTCATCTGGTATTTTTTTAGTCCTCAAAAATAATACTGAAAATTTTTCTAAGCTGATAAATTCCTTCATATTCTAAGAATTTTAACATCTATATTGGAATATCATCAGGTCCAATAGCTTTTTCACGCTTCATTTTCTTTCAAATCTCTTTAACTTTGGTTTTATTAATACACCGATAAAAAATATTTATTTTCATGTAAGATGCTAAAGTCACTAAAGATAATCAAAATCTCACAATCTTCTTTGAAAAGATTATCAAAATATCTCATCCACCTTTGTTGAATATTGTTCTAATAAAAGCACTTTTTGATCTTTATCCTTAATTCACTTTACTTAAATCCTTACTTCTCATTACTCTTTGCTTGGCTAACTTATACATATATTTTTTTCCCTTTTTAGTATTTAATCAATTATATAAATCATTGAAAGCTAATTTTTTTTGCATCGCATATTGCTTTGTTGACTCCTTATGAGTCTCATTATATCTTTTTCAATTTTTTGAGCTTTTACGCATAAACCAATTTTTATAACGAAGCTTCAATTTTTATAACAAAGCTTCTTATTTTTTATATTTTCTTGCACATTTTAATTCCATCATAAATTATTTTTATTACTATGAGCTTTTCTTTTTGATATTCAATGTACATCCTTTGTAATATTCTTATTACGAGTAGGTACTTTTTCTCATATAACATTAGCTTTCTCGTGATAGTCAAAATCATAGAAAATTAAACAAATTTCAATTTTTTTGTACACATCACATCTAAAATCCTAAATAATATCTATATATTTTCAAAAATTATAAAACTTTCCATATCACAATTAGGCCCTTTCCCTTAACTATTGCAAGTGAGTTCATAATCATTGGTTAAGTATTCAGGGTGTTCTTATCATTTAAGGTTAGTTTAGTTCTCTTAAATTTATGTTGTCCAAGCCCTAGATTGATCTCTATTGCAATCCTCTCCTTATCCACCAAATTAACTCTATCATCATATTCTCACTTACCTAAGTCTCGTGGGAAGGGTTCTCAACCAAATTGGACCTCTCTAGGTGGTCTCACCTTCAAGCTACACCATTTTTAGATGGATTTTGCTATAGAATAATTAGCAATTGCATATAGGGTTTTCTAAATGCGAGAAAGTTTGTTTATGTGGACTTTGGGCTATTTTCTTCCATATGGCTCGTTATAACATTTACTTTAGTTTTGTTTTTTTAAACATAGGGTTTTATGAAAGTTCTAGCTTTTTAATAACACGAACGACATAAATGTAAAGATGTTCTGGACAGAGAAAGTCCATTTCTAAGTTCTTTGGGTAATTTCTTTCGTCGAGCCAATTAAGAAAATTATCTAGATCAAGCTAGTTACATTTATGCTTTCTTTTTTAATAATATAGGGTTTTATGATATTTTTGACTTTTTGATTGCCCAAACAACATAAAAATGTGGATATTATGACATCTAAGAAGTTTTCACTTTAGAATTTTTGGTAGATTGTTCTTGTTATTCTACTCATTTTGTTATATTTCTTCTGAATTTTTGCTGGGTATTTTTAATTATACAGAGTTCTAAGTATTTTGATGTGTGTCCCGATCTCAATAAAATTTACTAAATGAATAAATGCTTTAAAATATTGTAGTTAATGTTATCTATAAAGTTTTATTTTTGACAACTGTTAAAGTATATGTGCAAATTTATTTCAAAATTCGAATTGTTTTGTTATAAACGTATAATTATGTATTTACGTGACGTGTTTGATCGGTTCTATTTATATCTATTAAAAGTGTGATATTTTTGTGTTTGTATGATTGAATATGTGTATAGGAAATATTGGCTATTGTTATTGATGCTATGTGCACTAAAGTGAAGTTATAAGAACCAAAATTCTAAATGAAGGAATTGTTGACATACCTTAAGATCAAATTTAAAATAATTGTCTATTTTAATAACTTAAATAATCAATTAAAGCTTATATGAATTCATCAATATAAATCATTCCAGTGAAAATAACTAAAATTATATATATCAAAATATTTCACTATTCATTCTCCAAAATTATATTTATAATAGACAAGAGATCGCTTACAATCCATAATTTATTCCAAGCTACTAATTAAAAAAAAAAATACAAAGCAAAATCAAAAGGAAAACCTAAGGATCTCTGATAATCTCACTCCACCTGGTCTTGATCCCTTCCCTAACATAAAATCATTAAAATTTACATGAGCTGTAATGCCCAATAGAAACCCAAATTCATTAAAGCTTCTAATGCAAGGCTTAAAGAATAAATATGCATGCTTAATTCAGTTAATAACATTCAATCTCATGAATGATCAGATATTATTCTTAAGTAGGGTGTCAATTTCGGGTCACGGGTCGGGTTCGAGTCGAACTCGGAACTGACACGGCATTAATCAGGTCGACCCTAACCCGACCCGTTTTTGCAAACGGGCCGATTTTCTAGACCATAACCCAACCCGCTTCGGGTTCAGG